TATATATATATATATATGCATTGGAACTTCCGTGAAGCTTGCCGATATAAGGGGACGTGACTTTTGTTCTAACAGACGCTGGTTCAGAACGATTGTCAAACAAACCCGTCAGCTTTCGTTTAGGTGTGAGTAAACGACACAGACTCCTTACCATTGGAGTTGAATTGTTTATGTCTTCCGAACAGCCCTCTCCTGGTACGGGTGTGATTATCCTACACCAAAGGTGAACTGAAGATTCCAGCCGAGGTCACAGACTCACTAACACTACATATTTTCGACCGAGCGAGGATTACAGCCGCGTTTGTCGATATGCATGTTGCCACTCCGGCAGCACACGCTAGGCATCTGAATGGCAAATATTTTTGCAATTGGACCGATGTGACCGGTTTACTTGATGTCCAGAGCGATGACTCAGCAGTTGTACCGGTTGTTATTCAAGTGACCCGCCTGCCAAGGCTTCCCAGTAAAGGAGCAACACATCCTTGAAATATCCTAGCAGTTATGCTTGGGCACTTGTGGGTAGTTGCTAGAATTTGTGTTCACTTTACTCTTGCCTGCATGTACAACGCCGATGCACATTGTGGCCTGAACAAAATATCCACACCAGGACAGGAGGAAAGTGATCTACGGAGTGTGATTCTACGAATTCCGGGAGTGTTTTTAATGAAACGCTCTTGGAGAACTTATTTGAGAATATGAATCTGCTTTGCTCCAGAGCTGGAAAAGACCTGTAGCAGCACAGGAATAGCGTCACCGCTCGAAGAAGTGTGCTGTATATGGCTCATCAAACTGAAGAATTCAAAGAGACAGGATGCACGATGTGACAATTCTTTCGTTGTCTTGGCAACCAAGCCGCGAGGAACTAATGTGGTCCCCATTCACGTTTACCTTCTATTGAGAATGGCAAGCTAAGGACATTCGCGTCCTTGGGATATGGCGTTACAAACTACCTCCAGTTTTGACGTGCCGGCCACGCCAGATCCATCCAGTCATGCGTTAACTTATCCAATTATGACGTAATAACAAACCGTTTACTGTTACAACACATGCCGAGTAAACCAATGCACCCTTCTTTCGGTCACTGAATGTATTCACTAAAACAAGACAGGTGTGGTTTCACACATGCATTTCACCTGACGACAAAGAGCGCATCCTAGTTCGACGTGGGCCGATAGATCGGGAGAAATACGGAAGTGTTTGCTTACCGTCCAGGGCCTCCAGAGCTTCTATAACCTGATCACGTTATCATATAAACCATCCTCATTAAGATTTCAAATACACATCGCATCCACGAAAATCCACCTTTTGAGAGGTACTGTCAAAACGTTGGGTGGTAATAATCCATCGGTATTAGCAACATCGCAAGCATCGGCATGAACCGGTCAGTATCGACCGAATGGAGATGCTGCAGGGTCTACTCGAATCGCTCGTATGCATACACACCGATTGCACAGCTTTCGGTACAAGAAACAGAGAACACATGGAAGCGCTCACTCTATGGCTGCAACAAACTACACATTTCGCTTCCAGTCACTTTGAAGGATCTGAGTGACTCAAATCGCAGATTACTACATTTACGTGTTCGGACATAGCACATGTACATCATGAAGCAGGAGAGAACACAACACTGAGAAAATGGTCCATTCGGAACATGACGATCGCAATAGGGCGTGTGATGCACACGCTGGGTGCAAACCTCTCCATCACTGTGATGAGGGAATGAGTGCCGAGTGGCACTGTCGTGGCGGACTCCCAGGAATGAAAACAGGCTAGTTGAAACGACGGAATCGTTAAGTGTGTCTTACACACTTGCATATTTATGACCGTCACGATCATGAAAATACAGTCGTATACCAATGTGGGGTTTTTATTCGGAGGCACTGTGCGCATGGAAAGTATGCTGCAGTTTCGAACAAAATCATCCTACATGTTGAGTTGTGCTTTGATCAAATGGATTCGTGGTACAGCGGAAGAACCCGTCAACAAGTAGCGTTGCGCATTTTTCGAGATACGAGGAATCGGATGAAATTCAGTGCACTTGCACTAAATTGAGGATCTCGTTTAGCTATGTAATGATTGGTGTACTTCGCGATATAAAACTGGTGATACCTTCACATTATATCGCATCCATAAAAGATCGCGTGATATTCCACAGCAACCCGTCGAGATCGCACAGCACCTATCGTAGGGCGCTTTGACCAGACTCTTATGCAGAAACAAGCGACAGGCGTACGCCGTAAGGTCAAATATACAAATCGCAGAAAACAGAACAGACAGTGGTTAAAAACGATTATATACGTAGGAAAAGTGATTCAAGTCAGTAATACTGACGGAAAATGTGTATAAAAAAATCCAAACGGGTCAAAAATATTGGCGAACTCGTTCTAGGATGAGTGTGCAGTGAAAACGGATGTGGTCCGTGTCGGAATTCGACCTCGTTCTTACGTGATATCACTTCACTCTGAGCATTCGTTCAGCCGAGGAAATTAGGCTGTTTATCCGATCTGACAACGAACGGGCATCCAAATCCAATGTATTTAACAATCCTCTCACGATCCAAGGGATCCAATGGGTTGATAGCCGATGCATGCGATCAAGCGGCGTTGAATGCTCGATATTAATTGCCAGCCAATGCAACAAGCGACCCGAAGAAAACATGACCCACTCGGGAATGAATGAGAAAAACCGTTCACTCGGGATTTCTGGAGCGGTACAGCCATCGCTGCTGCCGGCATGTACGCACAGAATATCCATAAGTTCCACGAGTTGGTGAAATTCCTGATACACCAGTTGCAGTTCATTCAGCTGATGAATAATTTCAATCGAAAGTCGGCTAGGTTGAAACCTAGAGTGCTGCTCCTTAAGATTGCTACCAAGGACACCAAAACGATCACACAAGTCCGCAGTGATGCTGTTCATTGCGTCCCGGTTACGACGAGCCGAGTTAAAGAACATCGAGGTGATCAATGCACAAACTATGACAGCTAAAGCAACCGGACAATCGTGCAAACCACTCGATCGAAATCGTGCGATCTGAGAATTTCTGAACCAGAAAACGAGCAGACATACAAGTGAGTGGGATTCAATGGAGTCCATCTTGACCAGACGCAAATCCAGTCGCAGATAATGCTTGAAGAAATCGGTAAACAAATCTGGTGAAGCTGGCTGGACAGGTGGAAATACCAAACGAGGTACCTGGAGCTCGAAACAACATATGTTAAAACCCTGGCGCCTATACTCCACAGCACCTCCTCCGTTGGATGCACACAGTTTGTATGAGCAACCTAGTTTCTCTTCAAGATGAATTATAAGACCGTATTGCAATTGGCGAAGTTTTTCAGTGACGTAGTAGATAGAGTTGCTCAGTCCCAAATCTTCCATTAAAATCCGCATCACGGTACCACCACGGACGTAAAGGCCATCAAGAAGGGTTGTGGATATGCAGCCTTGACGAAATTTGCTGCGGAAATTCTGAGGCCAACCGCATATAAGGTTAGCGTCCGACTTCATCGACGGCACACCGCACTGCTGGGAAGGTAAAACGTTTGTCACGGCAGTGACAGCAGCCTCTAAGGTAGTCGCCTTGATGATATCTCCATTCGGTCTAGGTGGACTCGAAGCAATGCACACATGAGACTTCTTTCCTTCCTTCAGTGATAAGAAGTCCGCCAGTTGCCGACAAACAGTGTGCAAATCCAGCACGTAACCAAGAACGCAAGTGATGATTTGTGCAGTAATATCTTCCAGCTGTTTGCCATGGTGAAGCGATAAGATTTCTCGGACAGGAGTAGACAAGTCATCTGAAAAACCACTGAGCCAGCCAATCACAGCGTGAATGCGTCGGCTGTTGTACGACATACCGTTTCTCTGGGATGAGTTCAACCGCTCTGTGATTGCTGAGGGAAAAGGCACAGAGGATATAACGTCGTTGCCCACCAGGACTGGGAGTAGAGGGCGTAATGGTGGGCAAATCCCCCGAAGGACCGACTGAGAGGGTCGAAATACTTTACACGGAAGTGCGTGGCACCCAGCACTGTCGGTGCAAGCACTACATCGTGAAGGCAGAGGTTTGGATTTCTGCTCTAGGAACATGAGTGGAATTACGCGGTAATCAGAAGCAGGTGGGGTTCCGAAGATGAAGAAATCCGAGTCGTTGCTCACAACTGGACAGTTCAAATAGATAGCCAATTCTGCAACGTGAATGTCGGCCTCACGTTCGCAGTTGACATGATGGATGCCCATTTCTTCCAGAACGGAAAGAAATACTTGATTTGTTAGTTTCGGCAAAATATCGGGTGTAGACTGCTGTGTATTCTCGACGTCGTTGAAAGCCTGGTTATTTAAGTACCTTGACAAGGTGTCGATGCGTTCAGCGTTCCGTTTCAGTAATGTTTCACGCTTCGAGCCCTGAAGTCGGGGGAAAACGAGGGATAAGGAGCCCTGTTATGAAGAAAACTAGGTATTTAGGGACGTTTCTGAATTCCAAATTGCCTTGCCGTGGAAATTCGTTTAGAAATATGAGAACCCACTGAATCAGACAGAAAGCATTAAGGAAAATCTCACCGTGTCAAGAAGATCTTTTGGAGAGAACAAGAAATTACCACGTGGTGGATTATGTTTACCCGTCAGCCTTAGTGTACACCCCAAACTGTAGTCGGTCGCGAACGCGCCGACGTAATGGTATGTTCTGACAGAAAATTGTCTGCAACTCACTTACTAATGATTCAACCTTGGCGGGATGGTCAACGGTGAGGAACACAGCGGGTTCCAGTACTGCGAGTAATCGTACTACGAGGCGGTCGGCAGATACAGTCGAACTGTGCTCTGCGATAGGAATGTGAGGGCAGTAAGACATTTCCCCCTAGCGGCCAGCAATGTCCATAGTCATGGAAGCAGCTATGCTGTCTTCCCCCGAGTGGAATTGACCCCAAAGAAAATGTTCTCCATGAGAATGGTATGCGGTCTGGATTAATACAAACAATTTGTCAACAGAAAATAGTACACAGCAACAGCCGCTCCTTAAATCGCAGATCCATCACATACTGCTCAACACCGAATGAAATCATGCGCCCTTAGAAGAATGGAGGAAGATTGTGACAAATGGCAAAAAAATACGAAGACGCTGTAAAGAGAGGCGGAAGTGGGTCGTCAGTGCTGGGTGCCAGGATTGCTGTGATTACCGACAGAATTCTGCACGAGCGTAATAGGGAAAATCAATTCCACAACCGTTATCAGTGGTTGGCATATGCGACTCAGATTAGATATATTTAGAGCGAGTGGCTAGTAAAGCGGGAAAATACCTGCCGAAGTAGCAAGATGCTAGAATGAGCAACCGCAATCGGTCTAGCTGAACCTGGTAACAAGAACAACGCGGAGAATGGCAACAGAAGAAACTAAACGTTTTGAATGATAACAGTTACAATTATTACACCGAAGGATAGAAAGAGTCCACAGAAGAGCGATTATTCAACACATCACGGAGAAATCCGTGATGTCAAAAGCAATATAGCTGAATGACAATACAATGCACCAGTCCCACAGTCATGATATCAACCGTTCCAAGGCGAGTGTTTCTGACGTTTAATTAAGAGCTCCACAAATTGGTTTTAATGGAGATTTCCCCCTGTGGGTCAAGCTAATTTATGCCGAAAAGCCTAGAAGCACTGTACAGCCGTTGTATCCTTGTTGGGAATCGTCCGTATTGTGCGAACAACCGACATCCAGGCTAATAATTTGAATACTTATCCGTTCGTCAACCACTGGACTCTACACCCATCCACATGTAAGCCCTGAGTAGGCGTACATGGTCATATCGACGGTAGTTAACGAACCAATAGTTCATGTGATATGGTTGATTAGACAGTACCGATCAGTCGGTATCGCGTCCCCTTGAGTTGCTAACTTGAGACACCTATGGCGTCAGAATGGTTTATCCCTGAATCTGAAGGGACGTGTGTATCAAGCTACAGTACGGGCTGTTCTGTTGTATGGCTGTGAGACTTGGCCTATTCGAGCAGCGGACCTGAGACCTCTTCAGGTGTTCGACAATCGTTGTCTCATAGCTCGTGTGGGTTGGTGTCAGCGAATCCGTAACGAGGCAGTTAGAAAGCGTGTTTTCGGTTGTGTAACGGGTACTTCCATTGAAGAATGTGTCCAGCACCAGAAGCTGCGTTGGTTGGGGCATGTTTTACGCATGCCGAACCATCGTTTGCCGAAGAGAGTACTGTTTTCCATGCCCAATTCGGAGTGGGGTAAACAGAGAGGTGGCCAACCCATGACCTGGCAGAGGAGTATGAAGGAGATCACGAAACGCTTGGGTGCTGTCGGTGCTACTCGCCTTCCAGGATGGGGACCGCGTGATCCTCACTGTGCCTGGTTGGATACACTACAAGATATGGCTGCCAACCGATGTCAGTGGCGTTCTTGTTGTCAGTTTCTGTCCAGATTGCCTGAATGAATGTCTGGAGGTGTAGGCACCTCGGAATGATTGTGTTAAGCTAGCACTAAGTCCCTCCGCCGTCAACCTTTACTCTTTTTTTACACTAAGACTCAAATAAATCATGGTTGTACAGCAGTTAAGCATCGGTGTTGAACACTGATGTCATTCTGTCGATAATAATAATAATATATCATAGAGACTTAATACACTACTCACACGGTTGCTGAAAACTAACAGGTTCTGCTATTCTCGGGGCGCATTCCCTGAGTTCCCGTCAATCTTATGTTCTACTTAGACCCAAATCGCACGAAATTAGCGGAACGAAGTCATTTGCATACCAATTCGGTTTTGACAGGAGGCTCATCTAGAACCCGGCTGCTGCACCAGACTGCCTCGTGTTTCAAATGGCACGATATTCGAGATATTGGGATGCATTTTATAGACGTAATACACACTTAAAACACCATAAACAACAGAATCAACTGGATTCCAAGTGAGTTTCCTGGCAAGACAAAATTGGTATGTAAATGAGTGTATCGCGCTAATAAAACTACTCCGTTTTAGCTGCATTCTTGAAGGTTATTATTAAAACACTACTGAACTTGATTCTGGTTTGAAACAGACATTTTCAAACTACGGCAGTTTCATGAGTTCCAGTGGACGACAAATTCGCCTGGTAGAGTGGACCTCACACATTACAAACAGCGCCTGAGGTAAACATGTATTGGTACGATAGTGTGAATATTCTAGTGTTTCAAATTGCTTCGCGGAACCAAGCAGCTGCAAACAATGTGACCATGGTAATCGGCTTATAGCGGATAAACTGATTTGATTGACCGACAAGGAATACACACAAATGGAGAAGGAAGCTCGAGGTGGGCGGCCGAACGTACGAAATGACGACACAGCTGATCATGAAGTTGCGAAGTTCGAAAGACTACCAACAGAACTGAATTCGGTCGAAAAAAACGAACCGTCGACATACTAACCTTACTTTCGTGGCATCCATCGAACACGAAAATGGGAGTGATACGGCATTTCTGGAGTTCAGTGATGGCCGCGCGAATAAGAACTATGAAGCTCAGGTATTCGCCTCCATAGTGTCGGGCCAATCCCGATTGCCGATATGAAGTTGCAATGTAGTTTTCCGCATCGAACACCAAGTAAGTATTGTGCAAATCGCACTGCGTGAAATTGTCCGGCTGTTGAGTGAGATATGTGAACAGACCACGAACACCCATCTACAAATCAGAACGTGAGGAAGCGGCTAGGGAAATGGTGTTGCGATTACTTAAAGTGGCATACGGACGAAAAGCTTGAACGGTCCGAAGACTGTTTGAGTCACAAAATATAGGCGGAAACAACAAAGTCGTGTATTGAAACATGCCGAGATTCCCTAAGCATTGGGCCATAACGACAACAAAGCCCATGTTCTCAGAGTTTGTGACGAGACAGGTATGCGGATAAATCAGTGTTTTCTGTATACATATGGCTGTCGTCACTAGTAGGGAGCCAATTTCTGTTGGCTCCGCAAAGCCTCTATCTAAATTTAGGTCGCCACCATCCAGACCAAAGCTGGTACCAGTGATTAGTGCGAATTAGGAGGGACCCTAGTTACATCAACTCCACTTAAGTAACGAGTGGGCAAGTGTTTTGATGTTCTGAGGGTATGAAAAACTATGTACCTGGCGAACTTCTAGGAGTTGGTGTATCCGATACACAGTTATGTGTGGGGCATAGCAATTAAATGCACTGATTATCCTGCCTCTCGCGTAACCTACGATTACGAAGCTTTGTGCTGTAATTGATTTAAATTGGACGCAAAGCTCACCAGATTTATAACTCGTGCGATTCTTGCTTGCAATTGCTCAAAGCAATTCACGTGGGCCAGCAACACAGCACAACCAAGGGACAGTATTTCACCGCTACAATTGGTGGTCAATCTTCTGTCTTACCGCTGGGTTCCTGTACATTAGTTACACTGCGACTGAGTGCTACGATAATTTTAGGACGTTACACAACACGCAAGATATGCAAGTGATAACGATGGGCTGACCCCTATGTGCATGGATACACACAGTAATTTCCGAAAACACACGAGACATCTGATCGGTGTTCCACTATCGGACGGCCTGCAAACGTACCATAGAGTTTGATGAGACCGTACACCTATCAAAAAATGGGCTTGGTTGTGTACTTAACGTTGGTAATAAAACTTTCGCAGATCCGGACGAAGCCAACTACCTGATAAGCACGAACTAGCAGATGTGGCTAAGACCCTCGGGGTCCGATAGCATCTTCACTTCATAGACATGACCTACTGTTCGGTTAGAAGATTGATACGGATTCTCCGATTTCGATTGGCCAGTTCAGAGGTCAGACGAAACCAACCGACGAAAGAGAACCGTAATCATAGAAACTAAATCCGCGGTACGTCGAGAAGTGTCATTAGGGCACACGGATGGGGAATTCCAAATGAGCAACCCAATGATGCCAGACCGAACAACAACACTGAATCCATCACACACCTCATATACCGGGTGGGCGAGATGGCTCAAGTGGTTAGAGCGCGAATCTACTGACCGGAAGGTCCTGGGTTCGAACCCGGCCCCTGCCTCTCGACTTCCCCTGTCTAGGCTTGTGCAACCTGACAGTATCCCAGACCTCGTGCTTCCTTCGGGTGGCATGGCAGTTAGGCACCGGAAGGGTGTTACAGCTGAACTATTTTATTTTTTTCATATACCGGGTGGTCGTTGCCTTCAATGGCCTGCTTCCTCGTACCCGGTCAGTTTGCAACACGTGAAGGGGAAACATCAGTGCCCGGGGGCGAAGCACGGGCAATCGGTGTTTGGTGTTGGTTTATACCCTACGCAAGATCGGAGTACCCGGATACTCACTCCATCATTGACGGGAAAGTCTTGCCGGCGAATCAACGTCTTTGCCGTTACCAAAGGACAGAAGATAAGCGCTACAATGTGGACCAAACCTTTGGTTATCTCACCACTAGCTTCCCGTTCATTAGAGATACATGACGGCAAGTTCCTCATCCTATCTCCGAAGGGACATCTCCACAGTAAGGCGTTTGAATTCAAGGAAAAAATACCCACCCACACACTGCATTTAAAATCTAAGCCAACGGAAAGTTATATGCCAGTGGGTAGACGAGAGATCCAAAACCTGAAACGCGGAACCAGCTCAATAACTAACTGGGACGAGGCAGTTGCCTTCAAGAAATACGAAAAGTGGAGAAAATAAAGCCATACATGTTGTATTTACAAAGTAGTTTATTATCCGAAAAACTATACAGCGGATGGTCACCAAATGACCTCAACATCATCCGTGCGGTAACGCTGAGTCACTGTAGACTCGTGCAATGGAGTTCTGAGTCCTGCAGCGTACATCAGACAACCAGTGTGGGCAATCATCGCGCCATTGTCAATGCAGAAGCGGTCATCCGTAGCAAACAACGTAGCTCCACGTTCCTCAGCCATCTTCCTCATCATCTCCTGCAAACGACCATTACAGCCAACACCACCAACGACAAGAACTTCCTGAAACACATGCGAAGGAGAAGGGCGACTAGATTACGGAACCCAAAAAGGCCATTTGAAAGCAAACTACTTATAAGCAGGCAAAAGACGGAACACGGTGAATGTCATCCCAGAAACACGTCACCATGTTCTGCAGCAGAATCTGCTGCATGCTAGCCAGAAGATAGTCCTGTCAAAATACAGTTGAGGACAATGAACACGTAAAATCCGTAGGTTGGGGAAACTCCTATTCATTCTTCTTAACTTGGGGATTGGGGTCATATTTACTCAACGGAAGGGAAAACCAACCTACTTTAGCGCCACAGTGTGCCATCGCTCGTTCCGTGATTTCCACAACCATTGCAAAAACCGTTTCCTGGAGGCTGAAACACAAGTCCTCCACTGTGTATTCACCCGACTGGAGTAGATCACAACTACGTTGTTCCAGATAGGACAACAGGCCGGCAAACGAAACATCCATTCCTTTCACTGAGTACGGCAGTTCGAAAAACTTGCTACCCTTACGAGCCAGCATCTCCACGTTGTAGCCAGGGCTGGGGTCGTTGGACAAATTGACAATCCGTGCAAACCTGGAATAAAAGTGGGACAGTTGAAGGAGTCAACATATCAGTGTATCGTTGGAATAAAGAAAGTTTGCCTTCGGCCGAATGGCGATCCAAATGTATACAGAGCTTCTCGTTAAGTGAAAAACGCAATGAAAAAAATGTTCACAGGAAGAATGCCGTCATGACTGCCATCCGTCTATGATGAATATCCTACAGTGTTCTACAGGCTGCTTCACAATTCACTGTATGTAACCAAATTCGTCATCAGAGAACAATACACGTAATTCGTTGCCATGTATTCTCATGTCACGCAGAACACCGTTTGCAATTTGCAAATTACAATTCATCAAGCGCATTCAAATCAAGTGCACTTGAGAATAGTCGCACATGTCAAGAAAACAGCAAAGAGCCCCAGTGGTCTTCGCAACATAGTTATTGGACCAGAAAGCTGGTGGCGATGATGACATATTGGGGTTAAAGTGAAGGGGTCGTTGTCCATAGAATACGTGTCAAAGAATGAGATGACCAACCTGTCCAGACAATTTCCCAAGGCGATATCAATTGTTTCACCAAAAATACGGTAACGACCCGAGGTGAACGAGATCACCTGAGTGTTTCCACCACTGACATAGAGGACGACCGGTGAGCGGGCCCCAGTTATCAGACGGCCCATTTCAATGTGCGCTATGCAGTGATTCACTCCAATCAACGGTTTATTCCATAACTGTGAAAGGGTCCGAGCAACCACAGCCACAACCAGAAGAGGCGCTCCCATTCCAGGTCCCTGCCAAACCAAAAGAACAGTAGGCTACACATCATGAACACGTTAAACTAACAACAGGACACAGACCTCGAAAAAACGCGTACTCGTACAAACCAACCTTAGTGTAAGCAATCGCATCCAACTCCTCAGCCTCTATGTTCGCTTCTCGAAGGGCACGCGAGACGAGCGAGATAATGTGAGTCTGGTGATGCCGAGCAGTCTCAGTCGGTTGGAAACCCTCACCAGGTGGAGTGATGTAGGTGACTCTGGGATTGGACAACACCACGCCATCACGAACAACGCCGATGCCTAGCTTGTTTGCACTACCTTCCATACCAAGAACGACAGGCATTGCGTCTCTGAAAGGTACAAGTTAAACTTTGAGACCGCACGATATTCATAGAGCAGAAATAAGCGGATCGTAAAGGACACTGTTGGTTTGGGGTCTGCTGCAGTGCCAAATCCAGAGCACGGTATCGTTCTTCATCAAAACAACAGTTACTACTGCAGCTAAGACAACCTAAGCTGAATAATTTAACACGTACAGCTGCGTTCTTCCTGTCGCGATTCATCAGACGCATGCATCCCGTGACCTCTGAAAAAAAATCCAAGTTCAAAACTTTCCGGAGAATCGTTGAACATGTTATGGGTGACGCTGATTTGTGGTGTGTTTACCTGCCAATTGGACAGGATATAGCATCCCGCATATTTCGGTAGTGCAGATTCGGATCGTAGGATCCAATTCTTCTTCGTTCTTTAAGTCAAGACTTCTGAGATGATCCTATGGCCGGGTGACTTAATTTGCATCATGAGCAGGTTAGCTTGAGTCTGTCTTGTTTTCGTAATGAATGGAAACGGTCTAGCTTCCGAGATAGATTTTCTCGTTTCCTCCGGTGAGTGAGCTCTGTCACTCGAACTTGACACTTTTTCCGACTAGTGCGTCAGCCAATTGTGGGAGCGTCAAGCGCTCCAAAAATGTTTTCCTGGAAGAAATGGTGTTTGACAAAGGTGCCCACTCTATCCTCATTTTCGTTTGATTCCGTCAGTGTTGAATTAATGATGCCAACTGTTGAGCGTCTCGTCAACCCCGATGCTCAGGTTTCTCCCAGTTAGAACCATGTACACCTGGAATATGGAGACCACATTGTTCTCATTAGTGAAAAGTAGTGAAGGCAAGCATGAATAGAAGAGCTGAACAATTTCATCCACTCCTCCAGTACGCGCTTGGCGTCCAGAAACTGCAGTCACCCTGTGGGACGTGCAGTCTATGAGTACCCCTCTAATAATTCTAGGAGTTACCCTGAAGGTTTGGAAGAACACTAGAAAATTCTCTCTGGAAAGTTACGTCAGAATCGTAGTCGGTACGCACTTCAATGAAGCCGTACACCATATGGTCAATATGATTCACAAAAGTTTACACTTTAGCTGAACTTTCAGGCTTCATTGAGTTAAATTTTGAAGATAGGGAACCAAACAGTCCATGGCATCTGGTGAATGGTCAGCATCGAAAATCGCAGGTCGGAGAATATGATCTATCTTTTAATAAAGATTAAACTGTCGCGAAACATGAGTGGTTCCAGTGCAAGATCAGAACGAATACAGAAGGGCGTAATGCATATTTTAAGCATCCAATAACGATAGTACATGAACCGAAAACATGGAATAACTGGTAAGTTAGCGAAATATGAAGAGTACAGTTTACATAGGTATAAAAGGAATCAGGAAGCAAACACAAACCTCCGGTTCAATCCCGCTAAAATATTCAAGCTGACGCATCAAGCGATGTCCTAAAGTTACGTACCCATACAAATCTGCAACAACCACAACCATCACACCATTATGCCCATCGAGCCTACGTCAGCAGGAGTACAAATTGAAACCATCGTTTCTCTCTTAGTCAAACTCCAAATACATTCCGGACAATTCCAAAATCCTGACTTAACTAACAAAGGTTTCTCTAGGCCGTCCCCGACCTAAAGATGCCACCTTGACGTGGTGGTCGGGCTTCAGTGCTGCAATGATCCC